CCAGCAGATATGAGGGCATAGTTCTTGTACAACCTACAGAACCATGAGCTAAATAAACCTCTTTCCTTGATAAACTACTCAGCCTCAGGTATGCCTTTATAGCAACACAAAACAGGCTAAGACAGATTATATTGTCTTTAGTATTCAATAATATTTCACATATCGGCATTTCTCCCACCAAGTTCAAGCATAGAATAGACAGTTTTTCTGATTAGTTAGCAACCAGAACGTTAAGAAGTTCAGAGTCCTAAAGCTGACTAACTTAACTCAGGTCTCTGGGTGCTTTTTTTTTTTTAATAAACATTTGATAAGTTTAGTTATATGCTTTCCTAATTCACAACCAATTATAATCTGCAAGTCAGAATGGAAAGTACAAAGAAAAGAACTGCTAGAAATAGAAAGAGTTGTAAGATATAAATAAGTTGGTAGGAAGAAACAGAAGAATGCAAAAGCTCAAAGAACTTCAAACACATAATCTTCTAGGGCCATTTCACCAAAAGCTTTACATGCCACAAGAGTCTCCAAGGGCAACCATTGCACAGTGGGCATGTTCATAGAGGCAGATTCAGAATAAAGTCATCAATAAGGACTACATTATTCTATGCATAGTCTTTTGCAAGAAGGTAGAGAAACATGTAATCCTTTTTTAAAGCAATTCATTCAAAATATTGTAAATCTGTATTGTGGCTCAAATTTGCACACTTAAATAATAAATTTCAGTTATACAAAGCCTGCACTACAAAATAAATGCTGAGTAAAACATTACAGTTGATGGAAGGATTTTAAGCTTAACTCAAATATTAGTTACACAGAAAATATAAGCTTCTAATTCCCTGACTGAAAACTGAGGTGCTCATGTAATTTGAAATAATATGAGTTCTGAAATAATATCATGACCTATAGAAAACTAAGACTATGCATATGCTATTAAAAATACCTGAATTGTGAAATCATTTATCTCCACCTTGCTTATCACACCACTCCTTACATCCCTCTTATTAGTCCTTCCTAGACACAAAACAGGAAAATTATGACTTTGCATGGGAAGTTTCTCTCAAAGTACTGGCACAAAAGTTTGATAAGTGTTGTTCCAAAATGTTTATATATGTATATTTTTAATGTGTATATTTTAATAATTTGCTCATAAGACATTGTTAAGCCATAGAAAGAGAATTTAGATTTTAATTCTCTGCCAACAAAACTAAAATCAAAGGAATATATAAGGTTTTCTGTAAACCATGAAGCTTATAAAAGACAGAAAAAAATGACTAACATCTGATTATCTATGGATAAAAAATGCAAGTTAAAAGAATCTGAAGTTTGTTGTTAAGTTTAACAACTTAATTTTTTGAAGTTCTAAAAGATAGAGAATATACAGGAAAAATACTATTTGGTTCTCAAAGCCAAAGTAAAGTATATGAATATTTTGAAGTTGAGTGTATAAGATTTAGAGTCCTCAAATGACCTACTATCTCTTCACCAAAATCTATAAAAAATATGATTAGACAGTACTTATCTGATGAAATAAGGATCATGCAAATGTTTTAGTCTACAACATGTAAATGTTCACTGAAAAAAACGATGAAATAACATATATAATCACGAGCCAAAATTCAATTCAGTTCTTTACCTGACTGTTTTACCTATCTAAACAACCCATTTTCAAAGTTCAAAACTATATATTTCACTTGAATAAGGATTTAAACCTAAAGAATTGTATACTTATATAATAAGACTTTAAACCTAAACTAAGAATACACATAAACTGTTTAAGGGGTAAGGAAAAACATTACTGTGTAAGTATAAGTAGATACACTAGAATGATATATGCTGGTGACGTTTTGTTGTTGTTGTTGTTGTTTTGTAAATGGTTCAATTTTTCCAGAGCATCAGCAGATTGACAAAATGAAAGGAACAGTTCAAAATGTTTTTGTTTATAGGGAAAAATGCACATACCCAATTTAGCTATTATAAATATTTATCTCATCATTATTACCCCACTCAAATTTGGAAAAATTTAAAACTAAATATAAACATACTTTGCTTGGAGGCTATTATTAATTTTAGGCCTATAAGTGAAGATTAACAATGATCTAGTCCAATATTTTACAGACAACAAAAATGAACAAATGGAAAGGTTGCATGGCTTGTAAAAAAGAGCACACTAGTTAATGATAAAGTCAACTTAGAACCCAGTTATATTTCCACCAAGCCAACTTCTTTCCAACTTAAATGTCAAATAATCTCTGATTTGAGATATAAAAATAAAAAAAGAATTCATAAGAGACATGAGTGAAATACCCAGGGTTTAGTGACTCTGGAAAGTAAACTAGCAATAAATGCATAAATGCTGCTTTATTAATTTTTCTAAATTTGTCATGGAGCTACTTAAAATGTACAAATGGCCTATAGTGACTTTATTATAAAAGGTAAAAGTCATTCAGACAAAGCCTATCACATAGACCCCATTACTACACATGGATAATTTACATGCACCATCAACTATTTATTTGTATATGAAGAACAGCCTTACTATTATCCACATAAATAACTATACAAAATGAAATCCAGGGCAGAAACTGCAATTTATTTAGCTATTATACTAAATCTATGTGTAAACTGTAACTAAAGTTAGCACATACTCATTCACAGCAGAAAGTAATAATTTTGTAATACAATAATGAAAATACAACTCATAGAACTGTCCCCAGAAATCAGTGTGATGTTACTAAACTTTCTCAAAGATAATTTAAATAAGATTGAAATAAAAATACTTTTCTTTTCAACTGTCTCTGATCAGGGCACAAATGATCATTACATGATTTAAAGTCAGCCAAGACAAAAATGGAGAAACAAAAGAAACAGTACCCATCATTGAATTTATGCATTCAATAAATATTTTTGGGTATCAGATGCTTTACTGAGAATTTGATGAAAAAAAAAAAAAGACTAAGCAAAAAGCAGATAGAATAACTACCCTCGTGATGTTTAACCCTGATAGAGCTTTTATTAAATATGTTACCCCCCAAGATGCACTGTATAGGTTGAAACTATTCTTGTTTTTAAAGCAGTTTTTAATGTCTGTGTATTATGATTAAGAAGATCAGCCTTGCTTATTGTTCCATTTACCTACTTTAAAAATATTTACCTTGGCCGGGCACGGTGGCTCAAGTCTGTAATCCTAGCACTTTGGGAGACCGAGGCGGGTGGATCACGAGGTCAAAAGATCGAGACCATCCTGGTCACCATTGTGAAACCCCGTCTCTACTAAAAATACAAAAAATAAGCTGGGCATGGTGGTGCTTGCCTGTAATCCCAGCTACTCAGGAGGCTGAGGCAGGAGAATTGCCTGAACCCAGGAGGCGGAGGTTGTGAGCCAAAATTGCGCCGTTGCACTCCAGCCTGGGTAACGAGAGCAAAACTCCGTCTCAAAAAAAAAAAAAAAAAAAAAAAAAAATTTACCTCTTTTTAAAAACTTAACAGCCTATTTATCTCAAAAGATTACATCCTAGACAGCACACATGGCAAATTAAACAGATGCCATATTATTTTACCATTTACAACTCAAAATGCCATAATAATTACATACACATATGCTATCACAGTCAATGAAGGAGGTCTTCCTGCTAGATAAATATTTATAATAATCCAAGTTTAAAAAAAAAGTCACTGTGAGTTGTTGCATTTAAGTCCTAGAATAAATATCTGTTTTCCACTTAAGATGCTAAACACATTTTTACACAATAAAAATAATGGAAAAATACAGATAAATTGCAAAGGAAGAAATGGTTTCATCATCATCTGATTTTTAAGAGGATTATTGCTAGGTGATGATTAGGAGTCTGATGGAACACAGCAATTTTAAAACAACTTAATGGTTCATAGAAGTTCCTAAGAAATGGATGCTTAGGGTTTCAATTTTTCTTAATACTCAGATGACTTAATGAAAATATATCAGCATGTTAAAAACCAGTTATCTCTGAATACTAGGCTTATTACAAAATAGTAATTTTTTTTAGATGGTGTCTCACACAGTTGCCCAGGCTGGAGTGCAATGGCTCGATCTTTGCTCACTGCAACCTCTGCCTCCTGGGTTCAAGCGATTCTTCTGCCTCAGCCTCCCGAGCAGCTGGGAGGCGTCCGCCACCACACCCCTCTAATTTTTTGTATTTTTAGTAGAGATGAGGTTTCACTATGTTGGCCAGGCTGGTCTCGAACTCCTGATCTAGTGATCCGTCCATCTCAGCCTCCCAAAGTGCTGGGATTACAGGCGTGAGCCAACTCACTGTCCCAATAGTAATTATTCTCTTAATGTTTTTATATTTTCTGGAGTAAGGAAATAAGTACATTTACAGTCATAAAACATTAAGGAAAGGCAGGCCTTAGAATAATAAATCATTGACATAAAGCCTAGGTATCCTCTACAGTCCCACTCTTAATAACAACTGCAGAACCAGCACTAGCACTGTAGCTGAAAAGTGGATTGTACACACACGCTCACACACACAATGGCTAGCATATAGTAGGCACTCAACTAACATATGTGAAATGTAATGAGTGAAGATAATATAAACAAGCCAGAACAACGAAATGCACTCTGATTTGGGGGCAACACACTAAACAATCCAGTAACTACCACTTTATCAAAAGCTGGCTGACACCTGAATGGACATTAAATGAAAGAGCTCTTCTTCCCTGCCCTCTTCTTTCACTCTGACATTAGATTGCACATTCAAAACAAATCCACCCCCAGCCCCGCCCCAAGCTCTACCCTCCAGTACCTCCAGCACTGGAATTGACACAAAGTCCAGGACTGCGGCGGTGTCCAGACCCGGGCGCCTGTCCAGGGAGCTGCGAGCTCACAAGACTTGGGGGTCGCCGCATAGGCTGGGGCACTGGGCGGTAGCCCGTTATGCCCGGGACCCCTAGAGACCCGCGCGCAAGCCCAGAGATCTCAGAGCCAGCCGGCGGCCGGTTCCGCTCGCCCTGCGCTACAGTACCTGCACACGGTGATCAGGTTCCTTCTCTCCACCGCAGCATTGCGGGCGCTCAGGCTTTTCTTGCCGCCTCCGCCGCGGCTCACGCTCAGGCCCCCCAAGCTTCGGGAGGCCATGGCGGTCGTACCCCCGTGCCCCCTTTGTCTCGTGCCACCCCGCACGCCCCCCACACCTGCTTAAGGGGGCTCTCGCTCGGTCGGCGACTGTGAGGGCGCGGGAAGGATGTAGGGAAGGAGCCGGGAGGAAGGAAGGGTGTGGAAGACAGCGGGGACTCGCACCCGGGGGCTGACGGCTCGCCCGTGGCACCCGAGCTCCACACACACACACACACACACACGCACGCACGCACCACCTCCGCCTTCAGCGCGCCGCCGGCTGCCGGGCTGCGCGTGCAGGTCGGCGTCGGGCGCTCGCCCACTTCCCTAGGGACCTCGGCAGACGGCGCGCGCGCGAGCCCGTCGGCCCCTCACGCCCAACCACGCACACTCCGCAGCCGCTAGTGCCCAAGCCAGGGCGGCAACGGCGAGGCCCCGGGCCTGGGGTGCGCAGCCCCGCCCTCCCTGCGCCTATCAAATCGACGCTACCTCCGCTGGAGCAAATCGCGGCGCCAGAGGGGCGGGGCCTGCCGCGCGGACCTTTTAAAGCAAGTGGCTCAAGCCCCGCCCCGACGCGTGGGCAGCTGTCAAGACGCCGGGCTCTCTCTCGCAGCCAGCTAGCTGCAGCCAGTAGCCACGCCGGCTAGCCGCGGGGATTGTGGGATGCGGGGCCCAGAGTGCCCGGGGCCGATTTCCACCCTTAACCTGGAGCCAAGCTTTAACAGCTGATAACCTATTTCCGTGGCTGCCTATAAACCAGCGCGCCGACTCCCGCACCAGACCCTGGGCCTGACTACTAAGAAGGGAGGAGGGAGGGTTCCTTTTGTCCTGACACCCTTCCAGGGGCTGATAAACAGCAACACAATAGCCCGAGGGGGGAAATTGCTTGTAGAATATCCTTCTTGGAGCGTCTGGTGGCGAGATTTCTTGCCCCTCCACACCATGTCGTTTCCACCTCACCCTCCAGCTCAGCCTGCACCGCACCCGGAACTGACCGCCCGCAAAAGAGGAGCGCGGTGCCAGTGTAGAGTCTTCTGGCGTCCCGGGTCTTGACCCCGGAATCGGAGTCCGGGTCTGGGAACGGTAAGCCCAGGAGCGACCAGCCGGGCTGCTCCCTCAGGGAGACTTGGAGCGCCCTCCTCCATGCGCGTGTTCAGAAGCGCTCCCCTTCCTAGAGCTTCTCACCACACTCGGTTTTATCTGCAGGAGGGTTCCGGCTTTGGCCCGGGTCCTCTGACACTACCTAAGCCTGCTGTTTACCTCCTTTTGCACCAATATGGCCAGATTTTAGGGTGCAATCCTAAATGACGTACTCTCCCTGTGGGACCGATCACAGTGTTTTGCACAGAACAGGTTCTCAATAAATGTTCCTGGAATTTAATTTGATGTCACATTTGGCATAATTTTTACTGAATTTCACGGCTTCAGTGGCTCCAAAATCCATATAACTTCCACCTTTGGTTTTGAAGTTTTTGTCAAAGAATGTTATGGAATATATAGTTTTGTGTAGCTATCTCTATTTTTCTTATGTATTATCTCTAGTAATACAGGAGGTATTATTACTCTGGAATGTTTTTAAAACACACGTTTGTGTAATGAAGCCATAAATTCATAATTTCTGAGTTTTTTAAAATTTAAAAATCTCTATTTAAAATAATCAAAGACTCATCCTTTTCAGCTATCATGTCTAATTTTATTCTACTACTATTCTATGTAGCAGAATAAAAATAAATGGGCCTGGCGCCGTAGCTCACGCCTGTAATCCCAGCACTTTGGAAGTCCAAGGCAGAAGGATCACAGGGTCAGGAGTTCGACACCAGCCTGACCAATATAGTGAAAACTTTTCTCTACTAAAAATACAGAAATTAGTGGGAATGTTAATTCCCAGATACTTGGGAGGCTGAGACAGGAGAATCGTTTGAACCTGGGAGGTGGAGGTTGCAGTGAGCCAAGATTGCACCTTTGCACTGCAGCCTGGCCAAAAGAGTGAGACTGTCTCAAAAAAAACAAACTGTGTGTATGTGTGTGTGTGTGTTGAAAAATGTCTGTCTTAACTAATGTGCTATGATAAATATTCACACATTCAAATTTTAAGAAAACAATTTAGTCAGACTTTAAACTTTATCTTTCACATTAATAAAAGCAGGGAAGTCTTCCATACATGGATGTTTGTGACTAGTTAGCACACCTGTTCCAGAACATCACTTGTCTGCTCTCCTGTGACTCTGAGGCTTATAAAGAGTCTTCTCCTGGGAGCTACAACTTAATTTGTCTCTTCTTGCTAAACCAACAATTTGGATTCAGAAGTAGCCATCAGGAAAAAGACGCACTGGCTATGCAGGCCATCTCAGCAAAATATTTGCACTGGCAGTGACAAATACTACTCAAATTGATGTTGTTATTATTTAACCACAGATAAAACTGCAGAAGGAAAAGAGTGGAAGGCCACTGGTTATCACAAAAATTTCTAAAGACCCATGCTTGGGTGTGTCATGAGTGAGGGAGAAAACACATATGCCTCTGAAGCATTTATCAAGAAGATAAAAGTGAGTGGTCGTGACAGAAAGAGAAAAGTGAGATGTTACTATCCTCAAAAATTTGGCTTCCTAGCCTCCATACATTTTCATGTTATTTGCACTGTGAAGTATGACTGAAGACTTAGTAAAACTATGTCTTAAATGATGAGATAATAATGTTACTTTCCAAATGCTACTCTTAGGGGGATTTAGTTGACATATTGGTACTTGCTTACCAAGACTTTGACATAAACAAGCATTTTTGCATGATTTTTTTTCATGTACAATGTGTCATTACACTGCCACATGGGGGCCTTATTTGATAAGATTTTTCTCACTTATCCTGAACAGTTTGTCCTGGGCTCTTTCTCCCTCTCTATTACTAATCTGGATATTACCAATCAATGTATTCAGTACAGAGCATAATACTATTACAGAGCTCCACGAGTTCCATATTACTTTTTGGACTTCTTTTGGCACCTATATCAATTAATTTTATTTATTTAAGCATTGCACAAAGGTTATTCAGAGATTTTACAAAGATTCACAATAAAAATTATGAAAAGAGTAGATGCCTAAATAAACTTACAGGAATTCTCTAGAATCGAATGGGCAGAACGTACACATTCACCATTTTCCCAACCTCTTTCCCCTAATCAAAACAGATAAAATTACAAGTGCAACACATAAAATGTCCTCAAATATAAAATACTATAAAATGTAAATATATAGTGCTATAAGACAGAGAGATTGCCAAACCTTAGTTTATTCTAGTCTCAGAGAAGTGGACTTTTAAAATATTGCCATAAACCCAGCATATGTACAGAAGAAACTAGAAAAATTGAAGATGTAATTTTTCACTTTTATTTTACTTTGATGTCAGATGGGTAATATGCTGACACATAACAATAATTGAGTGAGGTACATCTCATGTATGTGAAAGCTCAATCATTATGCTTATGAACCACAAAATGGATAGATACAAATTTTTTCAAGTCCACAAATCAAGTATCATCATAAGCAAAATCAAAAGTAAATGAGACTGAGAAAACATTTTTAAAACTCAAATCAGAGCCAAAGAGCTAATTTCCTCTATAAAGTACTCCTACAGATCAAATAGCACTGTTTCAGTGACACAATGAAGCTGAAAGCCAAATACCAGTGAGTAAAAAAGTCAGTGGGAAGTGAGTATCACACAGTCTTAAAAGGTACGGAGTGGGAGAAAAAAAGAGTGTGGTATGGGAGAATACTGAATAGAAGAATGTTGGTGTTTTATTGCTGTCGTGTCATTATTTTTCATAGAAGTGACTTGAGCATATTTTAAAGCGGATGCAATGAATCTACTGAGAGGGAAAGGTTAGTAATGCAAGAAAGAGAAAAAACGATCAGAAGTAAGCATGAAGAAAATGGATGAAAATTGCCTTAAAACAAAAAGACCATTTGAGGGTAAGAAAAGAGAAGCAGAACACTCAGGAGAGATATGGGTTTCCATTGAGAAGAGGAAGTGGAAAGACCACTCCAAAGAATTGGAGAATGCAAGGTAGTATTGGTCATAGAGCAAAAATTCCAGAGAGCATCATGGAAGGGAGTGCAGACAGGGTCAAGGGCAAGGAAGCCCAAAGCATGCTGGTTAATGGGGTGTGGATGGTGAGGCGGGTATTATAGGCTCTGATAGACAAATGATGAAGAATACCTTGATGGGTCTCACAAATTGTTCTTTATAAAAAGTCTTTGGGTAAATGCTGATCGAAACATGGTTGATTTGATCTTATAGTCTCTTTGAGGAGGGCAAATACTGACCCTTGGTTCAGAGGATATTTTTCTTTTAAATTTTTTTTTAAATCATGGAGAGGGTTGTTAACAAACCAGAAATTATAGACTCCAGACACTGTATGGATTTTTATCATACAATGATATTTTAGGGAATGAGCCATTCCCTAAAATAAGTATTGTTATAGTCTCCCATTTACAAATAAGAAAACAGAGACTTGGACACATTCGGTAACATATAGAAAGTCACACAGTAAATGGCAGAGCCAGGATTGAAATCTAAATATATTAGATGGAAATGTATTATTTTTTAAATTTATTTTTTTAAAGGCAAGGTTTTACTCTGTGGGCCAAGCAGGAGTACAGTGGTTTATCATGGCTTTCCTCAGTCTTGAACTCCTGGGCTCAAGGAATACTCAAGGGCTCAACCTCCTGAGTAGCTGGGACTACAGGCATGCACCACCATAGCTGCGTATGTTTTTATTTTTATTTTTTTAATTTTTATTGAGACAAGGTCTCACTATGTTGCCCAGATTGCTCATGAACTCCTGACCTCAAGCATTCTCCCCTTCTTGGCCTCCCAAATTGTGGGGATTACAAGCATGAGCCACCATGACTGGCTCAAAATCTATTGATTTTTATCTAACATGTTTCACTGCCTTTTTGAGAAAGTTACTCCAGATAAGACTTAAACACAAAGCTCCCACATTGTACACAGGGTTCTTAAGAATCAAGAAGGATTTTACACATTGACCAACTGTATCACTCATGAAACATAGTCTCTAGATAATTCTGGAGCTCAGGCTTTCATTTGGGATTCAGAAAATGTATTCTGAATTTAAAAATGCATAATTTTAACCACAATTTTTTTAGAGATGTTTTATCAGTTTGCCTCCTACTAACAGTACGTCCTAGTTTTCTTACACTCTTGCTCACTCTAGGGACTATCATTCTTTTTTTGCTGTTTTTCCATATAACAAGCAAAGAGCAATATCTTTTTGATATTTTAACTAGTTTTTTATTAGTAATAAAAATGCACATTTATTTCATATGCTGTTTGTTCATTTATGTTTTGCCTGTTCATACCCTTTGCCCATATTTCCCAAAAAGTATTAGTCTTCATTACAGTGGCTCATGATATTTGTTTTTTGTATGTATGGCACATCCTTCTCCTACTTTGTTGTTTGCCTTACTTACGGTGTGAATTATTCATAAAAAGATGTTTAAAATATTTTATATGAATGAAATTCATCAGTCTTTTCCTTTTTTGGGTTTTCTTTTAATCATTTTAGAATAGCCTTTGCCACCTCCAAGATTATATACTTTATCGTTCCTTTTTTATATAAAAAATAGTTCATATGTTTGCACTATATGAAGGTATGAAATTAGGATATAACTTTATTGTTATATAAACTACTTGTCCCAATTCTATTTATTAAATGATCCATCTCTGCCTTACTGCCAATATTAAATTTATCATGAAATAATTAAATAGCAAGGTTGCATTTTAATAAAGAATTGTGCTCATGATAATAAATCCATAGAGATTTATTATCACAGCTAACATTAACGTTTCACAACTTTTTTTTCCCAGATAGCTCTCCAGACATACAAAGAGAAATATGTACTTAATTTTACCTAAATCAATTTATTCTACACACAGTCAATATATTTTCTCACCAGTCTCTTACTATGGGTTTATAATATTTTGTTTCCTATAGAAACTTTGAATTTTTATGCAGTCAAATTTTTGTATTTTTTTATGATTTCTGGTTTTCACAGAATGCTTGGAAAAGTTTCTGTATGCTTAGATAATAAAAGTGTTTACTCATTTTTCTGTAGTGTTCTGAATTTGTTTTCATAACGAAAATGTGGGAATACCAATTTCACAAAGTAATTTTCTATAAATTATCTATCCAATGTATTCAAATGCAAGCACTTGAGAAAAGAAAATCCTATTAAATATATTTTGGCAAAGACTAAACATCAGTTAGAAAGGAGTTACTCACAAATGTCTAAATAGGATTTTCAGCCATGATGTCAAGAAAATCTTGTCTTATTTTTTCCTATGCATAGACTAAATGAGACTTTTTCTCATAAAGTAAGTTTTAAGAAAATTATCTCTGAGTAATCCATAGGTTAAGAGAATTAAAAGATAGTTTAGTACCAATTTACTATATCCATGGCTGAATTCTGTTTATGCAAGCTTAAAATATAACAAAATGGCAATGATATTAATGAGTGCCCCTTAAACTTTCAGGTTCAAAATATGTCAAAATGACAATGGCATTAATGATTCCCCTTGAAATCTCAGGGTCAGTTTATTCATTTTTATATTAATATACATATACATGTGTTTGTTTGTACATATATATATAAGTAAGTTTACAGTCACTACAATTTCTGCTTAGTGTTCAAAAATTGGACAGCAGCAGCCTTCAACTCATAAATTTGACCAAGTATATTTATCTGTGTCGACCAATAAACCTTAGTAAGGAAAAGAAGAATGTTGTGGTCATCATTCAGATCTTTATCAAGCTTACTTGTTTTTTTTTTTTTGAGATAGCTTTTTTGCTCTATCACCCAGGCTAGAGTGCAGTGGCACAATCTTGGCTCACTGCAACCTCTACCTCCTGGGTTCAAGCAATGCCCCTGCCTCAGCCTCCTGAGTAGCTGGGGTTACAGGCATTTGCCACCATGCCTAGCTAATTTTTGTACTTTTTGTAGAGACAGGGTTTCGCCATGTTGGCCAGGCTGGTCTCGAACTCTTGACCTCAAGTAATCTGCTCACTTGGCCTCCCAAAGTGGTGAGATTATAGGTGTGAGCCACCATGCCCAGTCAAGCTTACATTTAATTCATTGTGATTTATATAATTGACCTTGATAGTGAGGTTAATATCTTTTCAAGTATTTCTTGACAAAATTTGGAAACCAATGTTTAATGGTTATATTAGTTTTCTGTTGTATTACAAATTACACAAACATAATGGTTTTAAAACACCCATGAAAGCTGAAAGTTCTGTTAAGTCGTAAGTCTGGCACAGTACAGTTGGGTTTTCTGCTCAGGGTCTCCTAAGGCTGAAATCAAGGTTTCAGCTAAGCTATGTTCTCAGTTAGAGACTCTGGGAAAGAATCTACTTCCAAGCTCATTCAGGTTGTTGGTAGAATCCCGTTGCCGTTGTGAGAGTGAGGCCCCTGACTTCTGACTTACTATTGACTGAGTGTTGCTGTGAAGCCTGTCGCATATGGCTTCCTCCATCTTTCAAATTTCATGATTCAAATTTCTGACTTATTCGACCCCTAACTGAAGAATTCTTTCTGCTTTTTAAAGGGCTTATGTGATCAAATTTAGCCCACTTACATAATCTCCCTATTTCAAGGTCAACTGATTAGTAACCTTAATTGCATCTGCAAATCCCTTTGCCGTGCAAAATAATTTAATCACAGGAGTAATACTAGGAAGCCAAGATCATGAGAACCATTTTAGAAATCTTTGAAGCACCGTGGTGAGAGAAAGAATGCATTCTCTACAGAGATGTATTTTAAGTGTCTGCTAACCTGGCATTGTCCTCCCCAACCCAAACTATTGCTATTAATATGCTTATAGGAATTTGGATGCAGCTAACTTCAAAGAGACTATTAAGCTCCTGGTAGTCTCCAACACTATCGACCTACTGGTAGTCTCCAAATATTTGTCATATTTACTCATTCAATAAATATTTTTTAATTGACCATTATGTGACAGTCACTATGCTAGATTGTGGGAGTACAATGGTGAGTGAAAACTCCTGCTCTCATAGAGCTTAAGATTCAGATGGGAGAGAGAGGTATCAATCAAAACCTAAAGAAATCAACACACACATACTTATCAGTATGATAAATGATCCAAAGGAGAGGACAACATATAAAAGAAACTGGAGCAGGACTCCAGGAGGTGCTATTCCTATGGTAGATAATGTCAACAGGGCCCTTGGAGTTAAACAACACCATGGCCCTGCAAGGGTGCCAGGGAAGGAAGCAATGATTGAGCTATGCTATGAAGTAAGAATAGGAGTGAACTCGATAAAGCGGCTGGTGGTGGGAGAAACTATCCAGACAGAGGAAGAGCATGTACAAATGACCTGGGGCTGGAGGAAATATACTGTGCCTGAAGTTAGTGTGGCTGGAGCTCAGAGAGTAAGGAGGATCAGGAGGGTATGGCTAGACA